CGAGCTGTGCCCAGGGCTGCCCCCGAGGGCACCAACCCTCCAGGCTCCCGCCCACCCCCATGCCGGGGTGCGGAGGCGGGGCCCGGGAGAAAGCCCCTTGCGCCAGGACGCCCAGGCACGAGCCACGTCGGGGCACAAGCCGTCACTGTCAGCAGCGGCTTCTCCCGCCTTCTTTTCAAACTTTGTGATAGTATCTGAGAACTTTACTTCGAACTTCTCATAGTCAAAAGAAAACTGTTTCCACTTAGAAAAAATAAAATATGCCTGGTTATTATCATAGTCCCGGGGTTTCTGAGTGGAGAAGACGGTATCTGCACTTAGCCTGGGGTCTGAGTAACCTGGAAGGCTGGTCGTGTAGCCAGCGATGACATTGATAGCATCACGCAATGTGGAAGGGCAGCCTGCCAGGGTGTGTGTGTGTGTGTGTGTGTGTGCCTATTTGTGCGTGGTTTTTTTTACATCCAAGTTTTACTAATTTGCTCTAGTATAAGCAAAATACAGCGTAACCAAGATAAGTCTGATAGCTGTCTAGAAAAAGAGTTTTAAAACTATAGCTAAAGGCACCAGGCACCCTTGTTCCAACACTGAGTTAGGCTGGATGGTCCCGTGCAAGAATGTTCATGGGAAACAGGATACAGAACCGCCTGACCACAAAGCCTGCTGTGGAGTCAACAACAGAGATGCTACTAAAAGGTGATGAGAGACCTGGGGGTTTCCCTGGTGGTCCAGTGGTTAAGACTCTGCACTTCCACTGCAGGGGCCTCGGTTCCATCCCTGGCCTGGGAATTAAGATCCCGCGATCAAAAAAAAAAAACGATTAAGGGAAAAAAATAGAAATCTTACATAACTAACAAAATAGGCTTCACTTTTGCCAAGAAGATACAGTGAGCCCGGGTCAAAAATGTGTTGTTGTTGTTTAGTTGACAAGTCGTGTCCGACTCTTTGCGACCCCACGGACTGCAGCACGCCAGGACGGCCTCCCCGTCCCTCACCATCTCCCAGGGCTTTCCCAAGTTCACATCCCTCGAGTCGGTGATGCCATCCAGCCATCTCACCCTCTGTCGTCCCCTTCTCCTCCTGCCCCCAGTCCTTCCCAGCATCAGGGTCTTTTTCAATGAGTCAGCTGTTCACATCAGGTGGCCAAAGTCCTGGAGTCAGAAATGTAACCTCCCTCAGTTCAAGAGCATTTAAGTCATGTGCGCTCCACAAGGGAGAAGCAGCTCCAGATAATAGAACACTACACTGAAAATGGGGAGAAGTATATAGAAAGGACAGGAAGAGCTAATGAAAATTAACGACACAGCTGAACTCCAGCCAGAAGTGGATGTAACTTTATGTTACTCAAACGCATAAGCGCTGACCGAGGCAGCCTATGCCAGGGAACAAAGGTTTTGTAAGGACTTTGGTAATCCGGAATGAAATTGATAACCACAGTGAAAGCCGCGACATTAATAAAAAAGGGATCAATGACACAGACAAATATATTTACAGATCATCGCCTCAACTTGAGGCCTGCAAAGCCCCAGATGTATCACTGCTTTCAATTTTATTTATAGATCAATGTCTTAATGTGATGAATAGTTGGCTTGTAAACTAAAAATACTGAAAATCACAAAGTACGGCTACAACTTTTTTCCCTTCGCTTCACTCGGCAGAGATGTCAGCCCAGGTCTGCGACCTGGGGGTAGGCTTCTGTGAGTGGGCGTCGCCTGGTGAGCTTACCCTGCAGCGAACAGAACAAACCACAAGCTCCGGCCCGAGGACGAGCTGGGCTCAGAGGCCCGCCTTCTCTGGGAGACCCTCCCCTGGGGGTCTCCCGGTCCACCTGGCCCCCACTGCTCCTGGCTGAAACGCGCGCATGCGTGCTGAGGCACTTCTGTCCTGTCCGACTCTTCGCGACCCCGGGGACTGTAGCCCGCCAGGCTCCTCTGTCCGTGGGATTCTCCAGGCAAGAACACTGCAGTGGGTTGCCATTCTCTTCTCCAGGGATCGTCCCCAGCCAGGAATCAAACCCGCATCGCTTACATCTCCTGCATTGGCAGGGGCTTCTCTACCACTAGCGCCACCTGGAAAGTCTTTTTCTTAATATGGTGAAAGGAAAAGACGAGGGTGTGAAGATTCACCTATCCACGCCCCAGTGGGATCTGGAGGCGTTTACTCACTCATTATTCATTCATTCGTTCACTGCCTGCTTCCTGTCTGGAGCTGAGGCAGCCCCGGAGGTGGAAACAGCCCGCAGGAAGTTGAAGAAGCCGGAATCAACCTGCTGCCTCCGCAGACGCAGAGGCCACCGCAGGAGTCCCTAGGACGGGGGTCCCACTGGCGCAGCAGGCAGGAGCCAGCTCCAGCCACGGCGGGCGGACGGGGAGGCCAAGCCCAGGAGCCCGGCGGTGGGGGCGCAGAGGGGGAGGCGGCTGTCGGGGGACCGGAAGGGGTGAAGCCAGCTCTCAGGCTGAGAGTGGACGGCAGGGGACAAGGTCAGGCCTGGGCCCGGGGTTGATCGGAGTTGGAGGGCTGGCTGCTGGGGAGGAGGCGGGCTGGTGAGGGTGCTGCAAAGGGGGTCGCTGACCTGCCACCTGTCAGGTGGGCCAAGAGGACCCCCCGGGCAGGTCCCGAAGGGGAGGTCCTCATGAAGGAGGAAACAGAACAGGCTCTGTCTTGAAAGCAGGACTCCATCTCCAGCCGGACTGTGGACTGTGAGCTATGTGCCCAGTGTCTATGGAAACGACACGCCAACAGGAAAACCAGAACCACGCCCCCACCATGGAAGAGCCCCAGGGCTCCTAGCAGACTCTCTGTTGCCTAAAAGAATACCCTAATTATCTGTGTAACCAAATAGAATCATGCATTCTATTATGCTTACTGGGGTATGACCACAGGCCTATTGATAATCGTCCACTGTTAACTCCTTAGGCTTAAGACACACAAATCAGGTTAACTTTGATTGTATCTTTCTTTTCCTTTGTTCAGACTAGTTTCAGAGAATTTGGGGAGGTGGGTTTGGGCACATACACTTAGGGTATATACGGTTTTCACAAATGCTGGTCGGGACCCTTGGCTAAGAGGACACTCTGCCTTGGGCCCGCCGGTGTAATAAACTGCACTCCACTGTCTGCATTGTCCTTCTGAGTGAGTTTGTTTCTTGGAACGCGTGGCTACAACACTCACACTCTCTATTTGGAGGAGTTGGCCCAGGTTTCTGGTTGGAAATTGACATTATCTGTTCATTCAAAAATATATTTATACAATTTCCCTAAGCAGGGCTTCCCAGGTGGCACTAGTGGTGAAGAATCTGTCTGCTCATGCAGGAGATGCAAGAGATGCGGGTTTGATTCCTGGGTCGGGAAGATCCCTTGGAGAAGGAAAAGGCAACCTACCCAGATGTTCTTGCCTGGAGAGTCCCATGGACAGAGGAGCCTGGAGGCCACAGCCTATGGGGTTGCAAAGAGTCGTACACGACTGAAGCGACTTAGCACACACTCACACCTAAAAAATGTGTAGGATGATAACTTTGTAAAACACTTAAACGGTCCCCCCCCCCTTACACACACACACACACCCACACAGAGGAATATCTGTTGTGGCACTGTTGAATAGTGCAGTTTGTATGTTTTTAAAAGGAAACAAGTATTCACCATTAGCAGATTGGCTCCATAAAGTACGCCCTAAACCCACTGAGCAGTGAGGGACCCAGGGCCAGCAGGTCTCCCACGCTCACTGCTGGGGAGGCGGCGGGGCCCTGGGAAGCTGGTAGATGCAGATTCTGGCCCCAGGGGTCTGGGGGGCCAGCAACGCGAGTTTCCAACAGGACCCCAGGCAGGCCGCTGTGGAGAGAGGTGACTGAGGTGGGAAAAGCTGAGCCGTACCGTCAGGAGCAGGCGGGCGACTGCACAGCTCTGTGCCCCACTCTGGTGAAGCGCGATCAGAATGCCAGCTAACAGGTGCATTGACTCTGGAAGGAAACGTGTTTCTGGGAGGAAGAGCTTGAGGCAGACCCCCTTTTTCTAATATTTATTTATGAGGCTGTGTGGGGTCTTAGTCGCCTGTACCAACTCTTAGTTGCGGTCTGTGGGTTCTAGTTCCCTGACCAGAGATTCAGCCCAAGCCCCTGGCACCGGGAGTCTCAGTCACTGGACCGCCAGTCAAGTCCCCGGACTCCCCTTTCTTCACCACACATCTAACCCTGATATTTCAGGGTTTTATGGCAAGCATGAATTATTTTTGTACCAGAAAAAAACAATAGTTTAAAATAAGCAATCAGTAAATTGAAACAAAAAAAAAGTTTGGGAAGCTGAGTGTTCTGGACTGAATATCTGTGTTCCCCAAATGTGTGTGTGTTAGGGGGAAGGTGTTAGGAGGTGGGGTCTTTGGGGGTGATTAGGTTGTGGCGGTGGGGTTAGGGTCCTTATACCTAGGTTCCAGACACCAGGTCGGGGCGCCCGGATCTCTGACTGCCAGAGGCGTGGGGAGCGGACGTCTGAAGTTTCAGCCTCAGTGCATGGTGTTCTGTTGTAGGAGCCCGCACGGACTAAGACACAGAGTGGAAGGTTAGACTCCAGCTGTGTATCATCTTACTCTTAATAGATCATCCGTGCTATTATTTTAAAGAGCTGTCAGCAGCCAGCAGTTTGTTCCAGGCTGGGGAGCAAGCGTCTGATGCAACAGCCTCCATCCACCCATCAATTCTGAGTCGCCGAAGGCAGCCCTGCCAGCTGCCCGGCCGTCGCTTCAAAACGCAGCCCCGTTCTGCTCACCCAGCCTCTGCCCACGTCTTCACCTGCTCCCCACTGCGCCCAGCATCCAGCCCAGGCCACCCCCCAGGCCTCGCCCACTTCTCCAGCCCCACCTCTGGCCCACACCTGCACACACACACACACACATACACAGACACACACATACACACACGCGCGCGCGCGTGCACGCACACCAACACTCAGCCCCACCACTCACCGTGGCCTGTGTCACCCACACATCAGTCCCGGTCATCCGTGGGCTCGTTCATGTTTGCAGCCAGATGCCCAAGCCCCCTCGTCCCCTCCGGCCAGCCCCTCTCACCAGAACCAGGGGAAAAGGCACGAGCCGTCCAGTGCCCCCAGGCCTGCAGCCCCATCGAGGCTCCGAGAGGTGCAGCTCCCTCAGGTGTGGGGCAGACAGAGTCGCTGCAAAGGCCGCCTTCCCCTAGGATCCTGGGGCTGAAAAACACCCCCAAGACTGCCCATATCAAGGCCCCACACCGTCTTCGAAGTCATGGCTTCAGAGCAAGAAAACTGAGCGAAAGCCGGGCCCCGGTCGGAGCAGAGGCAGAGGACCTGGGAGCTGCTGACCCCGAGCCTGGCTGGGTACCAGGCCCTCCCAGAGCACCCAGCAGCAGTGAATGATGAGGTTTGGTTCAGTTCAGTCGCTCAGTCGTGTCTGACTCTTTGCAACCCCATGAACCGCAGCACACCAGGCCTCCCTGTCCATCACCAACTCCCGGAGTTTACTCAAACTCATGTCCATCGAGTCGGTGATGCCATCCAGCCATCTCATCCTCTGTCACCCCCTTTTCCTCCCACCTTCAGTCCTTCCCAGCATCAGGGTCTTTTTGGTTCCTGTTAAAAGGGGTGGGCACAAGGGTGGCTGGCTCCCTCCCCCAGTCAGCACCAGAGAAATTACTGGAGGGCAGGAGAGCCTGCGGGGGCAGGGGGGCTGCCCTGGGGCCCCTCCTGCTGCCCCTCACCCCCAGACGCCCGTCCTCCACCTCACTTCTCTCCAGGAATTGAGGACACTGGTCTGGAAGGTCTCAATGCAGAGCAAATTAGACACCACTCACGGCTCAGCCTTTGATGGTGGGTGAATCCTCGGGAAACAAGCCCTCCCTGGGGAGACCTCCGCACCCACATGCAGGTGATCAAGAGGGACAGACCAGGAATGAGAGCCCCACAGAGCTGCTGGGGGGGACGGGGAGGACGGGGAGGATGGGGTCAGTTTCAATGCGGAACGAGTTACTTCAAAACTCACTGATGTTAGGCAGCCCTGTGGGATGGGGCGCGGATCACCCCACTTTGCAGGTCTCGAAGCAGCGAGGTCAGGATCGGAACCCCAGCCCTGGCTGGCACCTCCATGCAGGCGTCCTCCAGTCACCATTCAGCCCTGAGTACTGTGGGCCCCAGCTCCCGCCTTCCCCGCTCCACGCTCCTTTCCTGGTACCAACCACCCCGCTTAAAGCAGACATCTACAGGCTTGGTGCTGAGGCTGGAAGCTGGGAATCTAGGTGTGGGCGGGGTGGGCTTCCCAGGGCTGCAGGACAGGCCTCTGCTGTGGCCCGTCCTGGGAGTCCAGGCCCCCTGAGTCCTCAGCCTGCCTCCAACGTCCCCGTGGGCCTCCCCAGTGGGAGTTGGGACTCCAGTCGCCCACTGTTCGGAACCCTTGTCCTTGGACACAGGGCCTGCCCAGGCCAGCAGGGCCTCCTCCCACCCTTGTATCTGCAAAGGCCCTATCTCCACAGCAGGTCAGGTCCCTGGATGCCAGCAGACTTGAACTCTGGGGGCACCAGTCACGCCGGCAGGCGCCCCTCCATGGCGCGATAACAAGGAACATCACCCCGGCAATCCGAGCAACACCAATGAAGCACAGGGGCGTCTTCACCCGGAGCCTGCAGGGCCGGAGGCCTGAGGCCGGAGCAGTGAGCACCGGACGGCGCTCCCGCGATCAGCGCGCGGTTCCCACGGTGCCACCCGCCCAGGTGCCCGTTCACGCACCGCCCCAAGGATTCACCCCCTCAGAAAGCGCCGAGCCTTCTTTACCATCATCCCTAAGCCTTTCATTTTAAAGTAATACTGTGTGCTCACGAGCCCCTCTTGTGGGCTTGTGGGAGAGCCTGGAGGGACCCACCGTTCAAAACAGGCGGGGTTATTAGCTGATTTGTTTTTGGTTTGACCACATACGTTTGCATCCAAGACCAAATATTTCTGTCTCTTTTTGAATTTTAATTAATAGTTATTTTATGCCTGTTTTTTGTTTTGTTTTCAATCAGCGTTTTCTTTTTTACCATGCATCTCGATTATTCTTTGCAGCGGCAGTCCTCTCGGTTTTTATGTTTGCATAGTGGTCTGATACGTGAAGATATCGTGGTTTGCTTACCTGATTTACTATTGACAGACATCAGGGTTGTTTTCTGATTGTGAACAACGCTGCACCGCGCGGCTCCCTGCGCTGCCAGCCTCCCGCCAGCAGGGGGAGGCGCCTCGGCCCGCCCTGCGCCGAGCGCCCCGCGCCGCTCCCCACCCGGAAGTTCCGTCCCGGCCGGAAGTCCCGCGTTGGTGCGTCCCCAAAGATGGCGGCGTCCACCGGCTCTACGGTGCCGGCGCGGGGCAGCTTCCGGGGGCGCATGGGCCACAGGAAGCGCGCAGGAGGGCGCGGGCCGCGCCGCGGGCTGGGGGGCAGTGGGGAAGGGGCCTTGAGGCGGCTGAAGCTAGCCGTGGAGGAGTTCGTGCAGGGGACCGCGGAGGGCGGAACCCCCGGCGGCCGCGAGGGGTCCCGCGCTCCGGGCCGCGCGCGCCCGGGCGGGAGGAAAAGTCGCCGGGAGCTGAGAAGGGAGAAGCGGCACCTGAGGAAGGCGCGCCGGCTCCAGAGGGCGGCAGGCCCCGCGCAGGACCCCCGCCCGGGCAGCGGCGGCGGAGCCGGGGGAGCGAGCGGCCCCCGGGCGGAGGCGGCGCGGGAGAAGGCCGACCGGCCATCCGAGGGGCTGCGGCTCCCCCCGGCTCCGCCCAAGGCCGCCCCGGCCCGGACCCAGGCCCAGGGCACGCCTGGCAGGACCAAGACCCCCGCCGCCGCCGCAACCTCCCGGAAACGGGCGCTCCTGGCGGCCAACGAGGAGGAGGACCGCGAGATCCGAAAGCTGGAGCGGCGCCTCGGCTTGAACAAGCGCNCCCCCCCCGCTTTGTTCCACCTCTGGGGTATCCCGGGGACAGCTTTAGCACCTCTGCCTGCCCTCACCTAGTCCTTTTCCTGTCCAGCTGCTCCCGGAGTGAGTCCTGCTAAAGCACAAGTTCAGTTCAGTCCAGTCGCTCAGTCGTGTCTGACCCTTTGCGACCCCATGAATCGCAGCACGCCAGGCCTCCCTGTCCATCACCAACTCCCAGGGTTTACTCAAACTCATGTCCATCGAGTCAGTGATGCCATCCAGCCATCTTATCCTCCGTCGTCCCCTTTTCCTGCCCTCAATCTTTCCCAGCATCAAGGTCTTTTGAAATGAGTCAGCTCTTGGCATCAGGTGTCCAAAGGATTGGAGTTTCAGCGTCAGCGTCAGTCCCTCCAGTGAACACCCAGGACTGATCTCTAACACTGGCTTCATGGAGGTCTCACATTGAGGACCAAGTTCAGAACCCATGGCAGGGCAGACAGGGGCTGGAGGGATGGCCCCTCGCCTGTTAAGACAGCCTCACCTCAGCGAGCACCTTGTAGAATTACTTCCTTCTCCACCTCTCACTGGTGCAGTGTTCTGCCTCTGCACTCACTATAACTTTGGTGCGCGAGGCCTTTCATTTTCTCACTGATGCGTTTATCTGTTAATGTCAAACATCTCTGGGAATCATCCCCTCCTTAAGGGTATGATCTGTCTCATTTCTGTCCCTGGTGCCTTAGAGCCTGGTACTCTGAGCAAGTCCCCACGTGCTGTCAGCTTCTCTCTGAGTACTGTCTTTTTGGTTGTTCCCAAGTCTCTTTCACAGCTTGTGGAAGTGTAATTGACATACTAGTGGGTATCTTACGATTAAGTTTCTGTGTGCATAAATGGGCTTCCTCAGTCCAAGCGAGGATCACACCTTACAAAAAATGTTTCCTAAAGGCTTTGTCACTCAGGTGTCAGGGAGGGTTGGTGATAATGATGAATAATCCTGTAAGTTGAAAATCTAGGAAACAGCAGTAGGTTGATTTTAATTTTATCATGTAAACTTAGATACTAGTTTTGAACAAGTTTGAAGTTTTTCCAAACTTTTTCTCCAACATTGGTGGTGCGTGTAATCTCGGTGTTTGTGTGTGGCCATGCCCACTGTCGATTGAGGCTGGCAGATGTAGGGCCCTTGGGGGCACAAACCGGAGGTGCGTAGCCAGATCAGCAGAGCTCCAGAGGGAAGAGGGAGGTGATGAAATGGAGTGTTGACAGTTGCCTAAGTGAAGGCATGTTTGTCCAGGGCTGGAGCGGGCACTCAGGAGACACCTGGTGTTCAGTAAGCAGCAGTGGGCAGTGGTGAGCACCTGCCCCATTGCCTGGGAATCCAGTATCTAAGAATAATTTATTTCTGTCCTTTCAAGCAGAGTCTTGGTGAAATTGGTGGAAAGTACGTCCCACCTCACGTGAGGCAAGTGGAGGAGACAGAGGATGCCCAGAAAAAGGAAGAGCTGGAAAGGCTCAAGAAGCAGGTCAAAGGCCTGATCAACAGGTAACCTCGAGATGCACATGCTGTGCCTTCAGGAGACCGTCGCCTTCTGACAGCGGAGGCGCGTTTCTGGGAGTTAACCAAAGCCTGGGGTGCTTATGTTAGCAGAAGCACTTCTCTCTCAGAAACAATGCATGCACACCCTCCCATCCCCACCCAGTACTGCCGTTTTTCCACATCAGGAAGTACAGGCGTTTATGCCAGCTGACAATGGGAAAGTTGGAATTCTGCCAGCGGATTCTGTACCTGTGGATGTGCTCAGGGTGGTCCCTGCATCTCCCTGGGGACACCGAGTCAGGATGGCAGCAGGCGTCCTTGTCACGGTCTCTCTGGTCTTGACGGGATCCTCTGTGTGCTTCACTGGGGCCGCATCTCAGCTGGAAGGAGAGCAGTTAGGTTATTTGCAGATCCTAGAGGATTGTGTGTTCCGTACATATGTGCTGGGTTTGGGGCTTGCCTACACAGAATGGGACCTGCTGGTATATTAGTAACTTTTTCCCTTTTCTTAAACTGAACCCCCAAAACGGCAGCCCTGTCGCTCTGTCTTTCCACTTGTCTGCAGGCTGAGTGAGCCGAACCTGGCCTCCATCAGCAACCAGCTAGAGGAGCTGTACATGGGCCACAGCCGGAAGGACATGAATGCCACGCTGACCGCCGTCGTGCTGAGCGCCTGCGCCCCGGACACGGCCATGCCCGCCCGGCTGCTCATGGAGCACGTCCTCCTGGTCAGCGTCCTGCACCGCACGGTCGGCCTCGAGGTAGGGCTGCCACTGGCCATCCAGGCACCTCTCGTCTCGGTGGCCGGCCGCTGCGGCCCAGCCCACCTTGCCTGTGCGGTCTCAGTCCAGGCCGCGCTCCGTACCTACGTGATGTTGACCGGCTTCCGGTGCTGACTGGTCCTTGTTGGCTATTAGTCTCTCCCCCTCTGGACCGCACTGTCCATTTTGCCTTCGTCTTCTCTGGGTCCCCACTGTGATGGTGACTGTTTCCGGTGTCTGAGCCTGTGCGGGGGGCCACTGGAGTGTGAGGGGAAACGGCATTAAGTGAGACAGAGAACAGCGCCTGGGCTTGGAGCGTCGGTGTCCCCGGGCGGGCCGGGGGCCTGCCGTGTCTGTGCCGTGGCCCTGTGTCGGGATTCGGTGGACAGTGCGTCTGAAGCGCCTGCTGCTCGGAGCCTGGCCCCCTCCCCCCGCCCCCAGGTTTTCGGTCCCTGCTCTGACTCCTGCGTCGGGTCGGGCCACACGCTGTGGGGCCTCTTCCTCACCCTCACATTGACCTTGGCATCCGCTCGCCCAGGGTGGCAGCTTCCAGGGCTGTTGAGGGAGCTCTGATGACAGGACTTTATACTGAGGTGGGGGAGGACGTGAACGAGGCCTCCTTTCCCAGATGACGTCTGCATCAGAAGAGCTTGTCGATCCTTGGGACCTTACGCGGTACAGGTGTCTGAGCAGCAGCGCGCCCCTGCGGGTCTGACCCCTGTGCACGTCCTCGGGGCTCCAGGTGGGATGGGCAGGGGTTCGTTCAGCCCCGCTTTGCAGGTGCAGACTTTTCCTTGATGTCTGCGGAATTCTGGCCTCCTCTTTTTAAGGTCTGTTTGAATGTAGCGTGGTGGTGGTTACCGAGGGAGTGCTCCTCGGGGGCGTCTTCAGTGAGGAGGCCTGAGCTGGGTGTGTACGGTTAGGCCCTGTTCTCGGCTCCGTAGAACCCAGAGGACGCGGCCAGCCTGTCAGCGGCCCCCGCAGAGCGCTTGTGCCCTCCTTCCCGTCGGCTGCCTCTCCCTGAGGTCCCCCAGCACTGCCTTGCTTTGCGGACGACCCCTGCTTCCCGCTGCAGTCCATCCTCACTGGGGATTTAACGCGGCCCCTGCTTCTCCAGCCGCCCACCTGGGCTTCCGGGGGTCGGGCTTACTCAGTCTTAGAGTGCCAGTCCCTGCCTACCCTTCCCGCTCTCCTTGTGGGTTAATGCCCTCACTGGAAGCTCCGTCAGCACCCATGACCTAGATGGTTGATCCTTCCCCTCCATGACTGGCCACCTGCTCTGGTTCTGTCCCTGGGTCACTCACGTCTGCTCTGCCTGCCCGGGTCCAGCCCAGCTGCAGTGGTCTGGGTCCCTGAGTCTCAGCTGGAGCGTTGCCAACACACTGCCCCCCCAGGCCCCCGCCCTCCAGGCCCAGACTGAGCCAGAGAAGTGAGCCATGTTGGATAGCATGTTTTTAGAGATGTGGGTGTGTTTTTAGCAGTTTTCACAACTGTTATTTTTCCGAGGAACTGGAGTGGCTGCTGGCCACAAAAGGCACCTCCTTTGGAGGGATATCTGAGCACCTTGCTCTTGTTCAGGCTCTCCTCTGGGAAGCTCTGTGCACTCAGACTCGAGTTCTTAAACTTTCTGCCCTGTGAGATCTCGTATCCTACCACCAGTGTATTTTATGTTAATTTTTAAAGCGCTAATTCTTTTAATACACGTATAAGCGGAAAGAAGGGCCCCTGAGAATAACCCGCCAACTCGATTCTTGTTTGCAGTCACGTGTTTTCTGCTCTTCGTCCAGGTAGGCGCCCACTTCCTGGAGGCGGTAGTGAGGAGATTTGATGACGTGTATAAAAGCGGGCGAGATGGGAAGGAGTGCGACAACCTGTTCACCATCATCGCCCATCTGTACAACTTCCACGTGGTGCAGTCTCTCCTCATCTTTGATGTTTTGAGGAAACTTGTTGAAACTTTCACGGAAAAAGATATCGAGCTGATCCTGTTAATGCTGAAGACCGTGGGCTTTTCACTGAGGAAGGACGATGCTTTGTCCCTTAAAGAGCTGATCACTGAGACTCAGGCCAAGGCCAGCGGAGCAGGTGGCAAGTTCCGGGACCAGACCAGGGTACGCGCCCCTCCTGACCTGCTTCCTAACTGCCTGAACGCAGCCTCAGCACAAGTGCCCCGTCCTTCCCTCTGAGCGCGGTGTCTCCTGCCTGATCTGGCGCTGCGCTTTCTCTTCAGTGTGTGAATGAACCTCCTCCTTTACTCTCACGGGTTTAAGAACGTTCAGCTGTTCAGAAGAGGCTTGCTGGGAAGGCCTCTGGTGAGGGGCTCGGGTCAGCGCGCTTGCCTGCCGCGGGACCGAGTGCTCTGGGCCTCAGTTTCCCCGACTGGAAGGTGGGGCCGGTCGTGACTCCTGCCTCTGCTGGTCTGCAGACTGAGAGGCGTGGCGGAGCCATGGGGGGCTGGGGGGAGGCAGGGGCCTCGTTAGAGGAGCAGGGATGGCCTCCCTCCGGGGAGCAGGCAGGGGCTAGCCTCTCAGCCTTGTGAACCTCCCAGGGAATCGGAACCTTATCCAGAGGCTTGAGGCATGTGATGAGTTCTGAGTAGGTAAACGCACGTTTTCATGCTCAGGTCACTTTGGCTGCAAAAAAGGAGAGAAAAGCCACCTTGGGTTGGGGCGATGATTAGCAGAATTACAGCGGGTGTGAGTCTAGGACTTAGAAGTCTTCAGACTTGGGGAAGCGGGAGACAGGTCAGAGGTCACTCTAGGTACCCAGCTTGGGTCTCCAGGTGGGCAGTAGGTTGTCGAGAGAGACAGACCAGAAAGGAAGACTGGCCTGGTTCTCAAATCCTGGGACGAAGGCCAGGTTCACTGTGAGGAGAGAGGCGGGGCTGAGCCTTCTGAGGGTCCTGGGGACCGCGGAGGGGGGTGAGGTGCCATGTCCAGCACAGAGGGTCATGGGAGCCGAGCGGGGGTTCCAGACCAACACCTGCTCTTGTGTTGGATGGTCAAGAAAAAGGCAGGGGTAAAGGTCAGTTCTTCACATCAGGTGGCCAAAGGATTGGAGCTTCGGCTTTAGCATCAGTCCTTCCAATGAACACCCAGGACTGATCTCCTTTAGGATGGACTGGTTGGATCTCCTTGCAGTCCAAGGGACTCTCAAGAGTCTTCTCCAACACCAC